TGCTCTCCAGCTGGTTTTCCTCCTCCTCCTCCTCCTCCTCCTCCTCCTCCTCCTCCTCCTCCTTCTCTTAGTATTTTTATTGAGTTATGTATTTTTCCTCACTCTCTACCCTCCTGCCCTCCCCTTTTTGACCCCCCATTCCTGATTTACTCAGAGCATCTTGTCTTTTTCCCCATTCCTAGGTGGTTCCATGTATGTCTCTTAGGGTCCTCTTTGTTACCTAGGTTCTCTGGAGTTGTGGCTTCTAGGCTGGTTGTCCTTTGGTTTATGTCTAATATCCACTTCTGGGTGAGTACATATTATATTTGTCTTTCTGGGTCTGGGTTATCTCACTCAGCATGGCTTTTTCCAGTTGCAACCATTTGCCTCCAGTTTTCAAGATGGCATTTTTTTCAGCTGAGTAGTACTCCATTGTGCAAATGTACCACGTTTTCCTTTATCCATTCTTTGGTTGAGGGGTATGTAGGTTGTTTCAAGGTTCTGGCTATTATGAATAATGCAGTCTTGAACATTGTTGAGCAAATGCTCTTGTAGCATGAATCAACATCCTAGGGAATATGGCCATGAATGGTATTGCTTGGTCTTGAGGTAGATTGATTCCTAATTTTCTTAGAAACTTCTATACAGGTTTCCAAAGTGGTTGTACAAGTTTGCACTCCCACTAGCAATGGAGGAGTGTTCCCTTTTCTCCACATCCTCTCCAGCTTAAGCTTTCAGCAGGTCTTTGTTTTTAGTTATTCTGATCAGTGTAAGATGGTGTCTCAGAAAATTGTTTTGATATGCATTTCTCTGGTGACTAAGGATGTTCAGGTTTTCCTTAATTGTCTTTTGGCCACTTGAGTTCTCTTTTTAGATATGCATCCCAGTTTTTATGGTATTATTTGTTTTTTTAATGTAGTTTTTTTTCAGTTCTTTGTATGTTTTGGAGATCAGCCCTCTGTTAGATGTTGGATGGGTAAGATCTTTTCCCATTCTGTAGGGAATAATTTTGTCTTGTTGATCATATCCTTTGCTTTACTGAAGCTTCTTATTTTCAGGAGATCCCATTTATTCATTGTAGCTCTCAGAGTCTGTGTTACAGGTGTTTTATTTAGGAAGTGGTCCCCTATGCCAACACATTCAAAGCTACTATCCACTTTCTCTTCTATGAGATTGGTGTGTTTGCTTTTATATTGAAGTCTTTGATCTATTTGGACTGGAGTTTTGTGCATGGTGATAGATATGGATCTATTTCCATTCTTCTACATGTCAGCATCCAGTTATGCCAGCACTGTTTGTTGAAGATCCTTTCTTTGTTCCATTGTATAATTTTAGCTTCTTTGTCCAAAATCAGGTGTTCATAGGTGTGTGGATTGATATCAGGGGTGATGCTTCAAAGCCTCTTGCTCACACTGTGTCTCCTAGCTACAGGGTGTCTCACTCAGTTGTTCTCTCTCTCTCTCTCTCTCTCTCTCTCTCTCTCTCTCTCTCTCCATGCTTCTGGGTCTCTGGCTCAGCTGCTGACACTGTCTCCACCTCCTTATGTTGGAATTAGAGATGGGCTGCTACATCCCCCTGACATTTAGGTGGGTTCAGAAGTTCGAATTCTCATCATCAAGGTTGTATGGCAAGTGTTTTAATCACAGAGCGATCTCTGAAGCCCTCACCGATTTTTATATTTTAAAAATAGTATCGATAATTAAATGCATGTGCAGAATACATGTTGGTCATTTTGCTCCCTGCCTTTATCTATCTATGTATCTATGTATCTATGTATCTATCTCTCTATCTTCTCTAAGTAACTCAGGAGTAGCATAGGTTCAGGTTTGTAAGAGGACCCCTGGAAGATATGGTGCTCACTGATGAAGTCAACCGTGAGAGTGGTGGACAAGGAGGGGGTATGTTTTCGTTACCATTGTTAGGATGACCTGAATTTCTACTATGTGCCTGGTGAAGATACACATGGTTGTAAAGCTGATGGACAGTGATTGGTGTTGGCGTTTTGACTGATGGTGACAGGTTAAAATTTACAGCACTCTTGGTGGACCATATCTGTCATGTAGCATACTGGATGTTGAGGCCAACCTGGTGTACACAGCAACATCCTGTCACAAAAAAATACGTGGGTGTCGAGATGTCTGTGTGTACTCTATGATGAAGATATAAAGTAGATGGGATGAGGAGTAAGTGAACGGAAGGGACAGGCCAGAGAAGTTATTTCTGGAGGAAATTTGAGTTCCAAGCAAGAGAATGAGAAATCTCATCATGGGAAGAAGTGATATTATTGCAGAAGGCAGGGACAGCGTGTGTCAAGACCCTAAAATGGAGACAAATCGAAGACCCACATGTGTGGCACTGATGAATTGTGGGAGACTGGATAGAGTAATTGGGTGGTGTAGGTGGGCTGGGACCAGTCTATGGAGGTCTTGCTCTGGTTTGGAGTCTACTGAATGCGATGGGAAGGCTGAAGACAGTAGAGGAAGGCCCAAGGCGACCCTGGAGCAGGCACTACATTGTCACATTTGTGGGTTTAATTTAAGGCTGTTGAGAAGTCTCAGTGGGCAAAGACATTTTTTCCCCAAGCCTAAGTTGGATTCCTGAGTACCACTTGACAGCAGAAGGAGAGAACATTTCCTGAGAGTTGTTCTCTGGATTCCACAACATGCATGAGCTGTTCTCTCTCTCTCTCTCTCTCTCTCTCTCTCTCTCTCTCTCTCTCTCTCATACATACACACACACACACACACACACACACACACACACACACACACACACACACACACACACACACATAAAATGACATGGATTAAGTTTTATGAATAATTACTTTCTGAAAGATAACATACGCTCCCGAGTTCCTGAAAATAGCACAGATGCTTGATCTCCCTCATGCCTAACGGGGCCAATCCATGGTTGAAGTGACTCTATCATTGCATAGGTGAATGGCATGTGATATTTTAGACAAGACTCCAGACTGGTCCTGGTTGGTCTATAACGTCTCCCTTCCTTCTTCAGCTTCTTCATGCCCTCAGGAAGGTGCATTTCAAAACTCCTGATGGAAGTGAAATTATGTTTGATGCTAATGGAGATTTGGTGACAATATTTGACATTTTCCAAGGGCAGAAGACCCCCGAGGGTGTATTTCACTTGGCCCATGTAGGAATGATAGACCCTCAAGTCTTTTCGGAGAACAAAATGATGGTCCATTTGAAGGAGGATCTTCAAGTGAGTTGCCTGAGTGCGGAGATGACTATTTTCCTAGTGTGATAAAGTCTTAGGGAAATTCCAATTCTAGGAGTCCTCACTGCTATACGTGCATAAAGATGATGCAGTTCTGGATTGGGTCAGTCAGTTATACCTGGCGATGCTGTTTTCCTCATGAAAGTTCTTTCTCTGAATGATACTGATTCACAAGCCCAAAATTGAAAACATAGAAGCCGGGTATGGGGAAATGGCACAGTGGTTAAAGTATTTGGTCTGCAAATACAAGGAGCAGACTCTGGGTCTCTTGAGTCCTGAGGGGGCAGTGTGGCCCACCTGTGGTTTCATCCTTGGTAGGTGGAGACAAGGAGATGCCCATAGCAAGCTGGCTAGTAAGACTAACCCTATCAGTGACTTTGAGCTTTACTTTGATCCCCCGCCTCAGTGAACACAGTGAACAGCCCATTGTTCGTGATTCTCAACATTATCCTTGGGCCTCAACAGCACTTGTCCATACATCAACACGAGCCCCCAAGCAAATACACAGCCATGTATTTAAACCATTCCCACATACAAAAATGGGCAAAAAGTATACCAGACTCCCAAATCCAATGAGAATCTGCAGCTGTTGCTCCCTTGGGAGTATTTTCAGTATCTGAGTTCAGGACCTGCTTTGAAAAGAGGAAGATAATGACACACTGTGTTAAACACATTTCCAGGGACCACGCGGGGAATGGATGCAACAGACACCCAGTTTATTTGCTAAGTTAGTTTGTTTCAGCACCCGTAACAAGAACGTGAGAAACAGTTTGAAGTGAGGGAAAGTTTTAATTGCCTAATGGTCTGAGAAATCCATGGTCAGATGCATCCATTGTGTGTGTGTGTGTGTTTGATGCAGTATGATATGCATGTATGGGGGAAGAGTTTGCTGGGCTTATGGGACACAGGATGTGTGGAGGTGGGGAGATTGAATGACTAGTTATCTTACCAGTGTATAGTCCCAGCAACTCACTCCCACCAACTAGGTCCATGTTCTGTTTCCTGTATATACATAATTCATCAAATGATACATCCATTGTTGAATTAATGCATTGATTTTATGAGAGTTGTTGTCTCAGTTAGGGTTTCTGTTGCTGTGAAGAGACACCATAGCCATGGCAACTCTTTTTCTAAATTGTTTTTTTTATTTTTTATATATTTGAATTAAAACAAGATTGAATTACAGGACAATTCCAGTTCCCTTCTCCCTCCCTTCCTCCCCTACCACCCCCAACTAAAAACCCTACCTATCATATGTCCTTTCTTCTAATCTAC